TAAGTGTTATGATAGTAAAGCAACGATAGACAAGCCGACCAGGCCACCGGACAGGGTGGACAACCTCACGGACGTAGCGGACACTCGCGGATGACCCAAGTTATGACCTTGACACTTGGACAAATTTTAGAATTGAAATGACAAATGGCAAACAAGCATACAATGGATTCAAAGCCGAGAAGGACGGCAAAAATTCTTTCATTTAATCAATTCATTACAATTGGGGGCGCTTCGGCCATTACATCAGTTAGACAAAGAAATGAAAAGCAAATTACAAAGGAGCAGGGAGTAGCCGATCAAGCCTCTGGGGCACCTCCATCCGTGGCTGGCTCTTCGACCTCGTCAGCTCCCTCCTCGGCCTCAGTCTCCTGGCCGTCGGCGGGTGCAGTACTGGTGGCGTCGTCCAGAAAATCAAATTCGGTGTAATCCGGCTCGCCGAGGCCGGAGCTTTCAATAGGAGACTCACGCTCCGACAGAGGAAGCTTGGCCTGCTCTTCTGGATCCTTCATCAGCTTTGGCAGCTTCAGGTTCCGTCTGGCCCACCCGGACGTGTAGTTCATGGCCTTCAGAGCACGGGACAGCCGCCGACACAGGAGCCTCTGCATCCGCTCCTGGCCCATGTTGTAATAGACGGCCATCTCCCTACTGAAGTACTCCTGGCCGGCGGGGGAGTTCATCCCCCAATCTTCAAGCTTGGCGGCAACCACTTCGTAGCACCAGGGGAGCCTCTCATCGGCCTTCCACCCCTCGGCCAGGAACCGCTCAACGACCTCGTCAGCAGCCTTAACAGCGGCGGCCTCGGCCTCAACTTTCGCCTTCACGGCTTCTTCATTCTTGAGCCGCTCGGCCACAAGCTCCCTTTTGCTCTCCTCGAGCTTGGCTAGGGCATCGTCCCTGGCTGCAGCGGCTTCATCAGCCCTTTGCTGCAAAGCCTTGGCATCCTCCCGGAGTCGATCCAGGCAAGCTACTGCCTCGTCGGCCGAGGCAGCCTTCTGCTCCAGCTCCTTCAAGCGAGCTACCTCTCGGTATTGCCTCTTATGGCTCTCCATGAGCATAAAGGCACTCTGCAGAAAAAAGGAAAACAAAAATCAGGCAAACGACTCTACACGGACGACGAGAAAAGTACACAGTACAAGGCAGAGAACTTACTTGGACGAGGAGGTCCATGCCACCCTCGTAGATATTCACATCCCCGAGCTTCCTCAGGTAAGCCCGATCCTTGGCCGGCATGGCCTGCGCCAGGACGTCATGGCCAAGAACGACGTCATCGAAGACACCCCCGCCGACGGGGTATTCTACCATCTTCTGGTAGGTGGCACCGGCAATCTCTTTGCCGGCCCTCTTCGTCCGCGGCTCCTAGACGAGAGGCAGTGATGGAGCAGCATCAACAACAGCAGTAAGGTCCACGACAGGACCACTATCGTCCACGCTGGGGACAGCCAGAGTACCGGCCTCAGTAGCTGGAGAAGGGGAAGGAGCCCTCTTCGTCTTCTTCGAGGCGCTCAGGCCGGCCTCAAATAACTTTTTCTGGCCGTCAGTGGCCGGCCTTTTCTTCTTCGATGGAGCAAGCTTTGGGGCCGCATCAGTACTAGCCCCGCCCCCATCGGCCGCGGCACGCCTAGCCGCCTCGGCCGCCTTAGCAGCCAACTCCTCGGCCGCCTTGGCCTTGGCAATAGCCATTATGGAACGACGATCCATTGCAAAGTCTACAAAGGAAAAACAAACAGATTAGTAAGACAAAGGAACAAAACATAAAGACAGAAAGCCGAAGAGGTAATTACCATCGGCCTCAGCAGGAATGCCCAAATCCGGGCCATCGGCCTCTTCAAAGGTAGTGGTCATCCTCGGCCAGAGTTGGAGGTCATCCTCCTTGTCACCATAGACATGGTACCTCAAGAAGCCGAGGGCGGCCATCTTGTACTCAGTAATGTACTGCTTCACGCTCCTCGGCCCCCCTTCCAAGAAAGCCTCCACCTGAGCGTCCAAAATAGAGCTCTTCGGCGGGTCGTGCAGGTTAAACCTCCTGGTATGGCCGAGAGAGGGGAACTCGGTGCCACTCTCACCAATGGACACAAACACGAACTTGCTCTTCCACCCATGAATGGACGTAGGCAAATCCGTGAAGCTCCTCTTCTTCGGCAGCTGCTGAAGAGTAGCGTAGGCCGCACAGTTCTTGTGGCTTCCTCGGCCGATCTGGTACAGATTCATGAATAGTGTCGTTGTCGGCTTGTAGCCCAACTCCTCACACCGGAGCAAGAACCCCACCATCAAGGAGTAGCTGTTCGGCGTCAGCAAGGCCGGAGGAAGCCCTACCATGTCCAGGTACTCAGTAATGAAAGGGTGAAGGGGGAACCTCAACCCCTTAGCAAAACTCATCGGGTATACTCCAAAGTATCGCGGTGGTGGCAGAAGAACATGGTCCGTCGGCTTGGGTGCCCTAACCCGCCCGAACGGCCCCACGTACATCTGGGCAACAAGATAGTCGGCCGCACTGCTCTCCGGCTTGATCAGGTAGATGTTGGTGAGATCCAGATAGGAGATGCCGGGCCCACTCTTCGGCCTCCTCACTCTCTTCGGCTTGGCGGCTCCCTTAACGGCGGACACCGGCCTCGGGCACGGAATGACAGCTGAAGTGGATGCCCCGTCCACCACTCGGGACGCACCTGCGTCCTCACCCTTTGAAAAGGAGGCGGACTCCTCGTCCTCGCCTTCCTCGTCCACCGGCTCTCCGGATTTGTAGGGACTTAAACGCTCTATCTCCTCTTCAAACTCCTCGAGTACCTCGTAGTCAAGCGACCTCGTGGAGGGCTGGTCGTCGTAGGGGTAGTAGTCTTCGTTCAAGCTCTTCATAACTACTACTACGGGCCTAAGGAGACTAACTTAAGATCTAAGGGTGTTCAAACGCCTAACACTAGATCAACAACCTAGGAAGCAAAGTATGAAAAATGAGGAAGATCGCGATGAACACTAACCTTGAACAACGAAGAACGCGAAGAACAGGCTTGGGAGTTTATCTCTCTAGAAAATCGGCCAGCACTTCGACAAATTCAGAATGCAAATACGTTTTCTCGTCGGAGGGGGAGGGGTATTTATAGAACCCCCCACCCAACGGTCACTACACGTGGCACCCCCCCAATGGCCACGCCAACGGCCACCAATGGGAGGCGACCACGTCACCAACGGACCAAACTCAATATCAACAGCCCACTGGCAGGACGGACTCCACGGCCTACACACGCTCACCGGCTTTACAAATGCCAGCAAGCGCCCACTACGTCCCACTTGCTCGCCAAGATCACAACTGCCAAACAATAAGGAGACGGCAACGGCCAGGAACGTAACGGCCACAAGATCAAAGGACCAGAGAGCCCAAAAGCCATCGGCCCCTCGTAATAACCTTTGATGATAACTCTCTACAAGCGATCTGCGCACAAGGGTTCTCCCACAGGGTTACCTTGGCCAGAAAATCGCCATGAGAGTTGGATTCAGGGGGACTACGGAGAGGCCGCTTCGGCCAGGGACTCAAGCAACTCCTTCACCCCTCACACTCCTCGGCCTGAAGCAGTGGGGGACTGGGGGGACTACACCGGCCTCAACGAAACAAAAGAGAATGCAAACAAGGTAACCACAAAGCATGGCCACATCATCCATACAGCACAACGGAACTTCATCGGCCAAAGGCCCATAACGTCACTAGCGATGGCCAACAAGCCACTAGAGGCGAGGACACTCATCGTCCTCCGCCAACAGTTAATCTTGACGGGCCCTTCGGCCAAGAACACGAAGGCCAACTAGCAACGGCCAAAAGAAGTGCGCAAACACCCTCATCGGCCACCCAGAGGAAAGGACGCCATCGTCCTCAAAGCAAGGAATAACTTCAGTGGCCTCATCGGCCCAAACACAAACTTCAACCATCAACGCCCAAGCAAAACGTGCCTTTCAATGGCCACCATTGAAAGAAGGACACTCATCGTCCAAGAACAAAGACATCAAGTAAAAAATGGCCTCCCTGTCCACAACAAGGAACAGATAACGGCCAAGGGCGCCAAAGCATAGGAATCTACTCTCCCTCACTTCGTCTACATCTCAGCTTAGAGAGTGGGGGACTCCTGATGGAGTATATGGGTCTGAGCCCCCGGACCCACATACTCGGAAGAACAGAAAGCACCAGACAACAGAGTGGCGCCCTCGTCGGCCAAGACGCCCCCGTCGGCCGGAAAGGGACCAACTCGGATTATGGTCCTGAGTCCAAGGAACCCGGGTGCCCTCGTCGGCCGCGCCCTCGTCGGCCGCGCCCTCGTCGGGCGTGCCCTCGTCGGCCACGCCCTCGTCGGCCACGAAGACCTCACAGAATCGGATTATATACTTACTCATTTGTACAGCCCATTAGTGGCTTTGTATTCGGCCCAGTAGCGGTCCAGTTGTAAATGGGCCTCCCAAGCTCAAGGCTTGGGAGCCCAACCCTAATTTTCTCTATAAATACTCCCCTTGGGAGTAGTTGTAGGGGTGACGAAATCATTCTATTGAAGCATATTATTGCACTTCTCTCTCTAGCTCTCACTTCTCTCTAGATATACTCTATCACATAGTGTATAATATTTCTGGAACTGTAATTTTGCATTTTTACATCAACAAATCTAGAATATTTTCTCATGAGCTAGAGAAACTAGTTTCAAAACACAATTGGCACTATCAAATTGTTTTTTTCATTACATTACCCAATAGCACCTGCATATGCAAGTAAGTAAATTAAATAAACCTAAATGCATGATCTTGTACTTGTCATTTTTCAGTTGCATATATGATTGACCTCACAGTGTAGAGCTGGCTTTAACATATCTGTGCTTTCGAAACACCAAAGTCCAAAACATCTATTCATTATCCAAAAGATGATTGTTTTTATTTTTGAAAACACCTTATGCAAAATAATTATTATACCAAAACATTATTTTATGGAAGTTTATTTTCCAAAAAATATAAAAATGTAATTGCTTTTGAGTCATACATTGGGCATCAGTCGCACGTAGTGCGTACTTTGCTAGTCTTATTAATACACACAACGTTCCTCGTCTTCACCACCACGCCCTCCAAAGAAAAAATTGTATGCATACCACGGATCTTTAGTGTTATATGTGTTACCACCTGCATAGTAACATCTAGAATCATGGACTTGAACCCTAGCATTGTCGAGATTAGCTCCGCCATATACAAGATCAGTATAAGAAACTTGTCGCATGTAGCAAGTTTTATCATATTGCGCATTCTCAAATGCACCACTTCCCATTTGAGCACTAGCTTCTTCACCTTCAGGTTTGAAACATTCCCCTCCAAATCGCAATTGAATGGCACTTTCACTCATGGTGGAAAATATTGAAGATGTCCACATACCCAGAGATTGACCATTGAACATTTGGTACCACCCGGGTGGATCTGATGAAACCTAATGATCGAACGTTTATGTTGAAACATAACATTTTTTTGAAAGGGTTGAAACATAACATTATGCACATATATATCTTACAAAACATATAAATGAATGACACCCGTATAAAAAGTCATTATAAGCTTCTATTTCTATGAAGGGTGTGTTTCGCACAAGTAGGTGAAAAGATATACGTAGTATATATTTGTGAACTTTTTAGTAAATGTTACTCCGTAACTTTTAGTAACCGAAAAAATCTTCACGAAAAGGTGGTAGTTGTTTGATAAAAGGTTGTCTGTTTGATTTAGTTCTTTTTTATATACAAGATATTGTGACTAATTAATGCAAAAAAGCTACAGACTTTTCTCGGATGCTACGTACTCAGCGTACATAGCTTCTCAAACCAGTGACAGACGGGTGAGTTGTGCGTAAGAACCTGCCCTTGGGAGGGGAAAAAATGAATTTAATAATGTGAAAATGAAGAAAAAAGATTTTCTATTTGTTATTCTATTACATAATAGAATATATAAAATGAAATGACGGCAGACTTATTTTCCTCTCTTTGACCCCGACACCTTTTTTGATGAATCAGAAAGTTTTATGCATCTTTATTTTGAAAAAAACTCTTATAAGTTGTCATGTCCCAAACATATAATTAGAGACTTTTAAAATCTTTTTAAATAGTACAAAAATTAAAAGTAGATATTTATGTCTATAAAACATGCACGAAATAGAAATAAAAGTACCTGTTTATTTTAAAATTTAGTTGCCAAGTTCTTTTAACTTATTGTATTCTGCTATGTTTTTCATTTTTTTACTTTTTAAAATTGGTCCATTACATATTCAAGAATATCATAACTAATGTGTTTATACACTTAAATTATACGGAGTACTTGTCATTATTATTGCCACTCAGCAGCACATGTCATTTCAACAAAACCACTGATTTCGATTGAATATGTAGGAGGTGCATGCAGTTGCTCATTGATCATACTGGTCATATGTTGATTACATTATGTGGATGCACAATGAGAATGTCGATGCAATGAATAGTAAACTTGCCCACATAAGTATTTTTGTTGAAAAAAAAAGTTACATTGAAAAAATAAATAAACTTGCCCACATAAGTATTTTTGTTGAGATGATGTATGTGGTACAGTTTTTTTAATACATTGGGTAATCAAGTAGGCTTTTTTGGATGCTAAAATATGGGTTACATTTTTTTGTCATTCTGTTACATGTTATTAATTCAATGGAAATTATATACAAATAAAAGTTATTATTTGATTTTGTATCTTTAGTTTTCTAATACTTACCACTAATATATACGGAGTATGAATAAGTGGTATAATGCAAATATTAATTGCACTCACATTAAATTGTTATCAATTAAATGTTTATTAAGAGTACTTGCTTGTGTACTTAAGTTTTTATATTGTATTATTGTAATCGTACAATAACTATTCACATCTCACTCACTATAAAAAGGATGACACGCACAAAAAAAACTATTCACATCTCACTCACTATATTAGTTTGACGAATTTATTAGTAAGCAATCCAGAGAAAGTGTATTGTAAAAATATTTAGAGCCCGTTTGCTAATACTGAAATTGGCTGAATCGGCTGATCGTGCTGAAATTTATGAAGTTTTAGCTGAAGTAGTTGCTAAAATTTATGAAGTTCTAGCTTAAGTGGTTGCTAAAATTTATGAAGTTCTAGCTAAAATTTATGAAGTAGTATTTAAAATATTTTTTATTGTTAAAATAAAGAAAAAATTAAATGAAAAAATAGATAATATGATCATCTACAGTAACTTCAGTAAATACAACCAGAAAAGTAATTTCAACCTTACTTTTCTTGTTATTACATTATTCAACGCGCAAAATCAAAAATTACGCGTTTGGTGAAAAAGTTGATTGATAAGGTTGATAAAGACGAAAAGCAAGAACAACAAACGGGCTTTTAATCTAGTTCTTTCATTTAACTAGATAGTAACAATTAAATTTTCAACGTTAAAAAATTTATTGTACACAAAAAGCAATCATTAACAAGTAAAACCACACTTACAAGAAAAAATGAGCAACAAAGAAAAACTAGATTAGTTGGCCAAATTTACATATTCAAAAGTCTAAATTTATAAATACCCAATATAAAGCGTTATACTTACATGTTTGATACATAGATGGGGAAATAATTAAAATATCCCGAACTTTCATATGTAATTTAAATACCCCAAACTTTATATAAAAAGTTATTTTAACACCATGGTTATGTATGATTTCTTTCAAAAATGTAAACTTATGGTGTTAAATGCATAATTTAAAATAGCAAATTTAAAACATTAGAATTATATATAGTGGTGGGTAATACTATTTATTTTACAATGGAAGCTTAAAATGCTAAAGTAGTGTTAATTGTATCTTTATGAATGCTAAAAATTATCAAATTATGAAATAAACACAAAAAATTAATAGTTTTGAAAGAAATAATACATGACCATGGATGGTCCTAAAATAATTTTTTATATAGTTTGATGTATTTAAATTTCATATGCAAGTTTGGGGTGTTTATGTCACACCTCTTCAAAGTTTGGAGTATTTTAATTATTTACCCCTACATGGATGTACATAGTTATTTAATCAATTAACGGTTCTTAAATGATTTAGTAACAAAATATTTTCATCAATAAAAAACATAACCATTATATGGAACTAGGGGTGCAAATGAGCCGAGCCGCTCGTGAGCTGCTCGGTCAAAGCTCGGATCGAGTTTGGTCAAACTCGAGCTCGAACCGAGCTCGAGCCGGCTCGTTAAGCAGTCGAGCCATAAACAAGCCTACTAATTTTAGGCTCGCTAGCTCACGAGCCTAGTTTTACTTATTTATATATTTAATATATATATATATATATAGAATATTAATATAAATTAATATATAATATATATTAGTATATATAATATATTTAATATAAATTAATTAATATAATACCGATTAGTAAATGTATATGAGGATCGGGGAGATATTATATTTTTCGTTCCCGTAACTCTAGTTTCAGTTAAATCATCATGATTTGATCATTTTTTATTTATTTTGGACAACATTTACTCTACTTTTAGTTGTTGGACATGTAAACTTCAATTTGCAAATACTAAGCACAAATATTCAAAGATGGTTTCATACTTACACTCTAGTTTCAACCCGAACTTTCGAGCTAATCAAACTTGTAACATTTGAGTTATGAACCAAATTTATCGAGCCGAGTCGAGCCGAATCGAGTCATGTCAATATTTACGAGTCGAGCTCGACCCCAGATTTTTTAAGCTCGAGCTAATGCAATATATTTTGAGCTCGAGCTCGGACCTACATAAACTCGGGCTCGTCTCGGCTCATTTGCACCCCTATATGGCTATATGGAACTAGAGCGAAGCCTTTTCAAATAATAACCATATACGGAGTATATATATAGAACACAAATGCTAAAGCTATCCCATTTTGTACCTCATTTTGTACCCTTCCCTATGTTTGTGGTTCACAAAGGCACTTCATTAAAATAGAGCAATTAATTTAATCGGGTTGAATTTTTGTGAGCCACAAACATAGGATGAGGTACAAATTGGGGTACAAAATGGGGTACCTCTAGCAAAACTCTATATAGAAACCGGACATTTTTATAATTGTTCGGATCTAATCCGTTCCGCAAGTCAAAAATCTCCTTATTATTTTACAACTCCAAATATGAGTACATTTTTGTTAAAAGATAAAATCATAAATTAAAAAAAAAATGGTTTTGCAAAGAAAAACAATTGGTTTAGGATATCAAGATAAAATCATTTCTACCATTACTTTTCTTCTTTTTTTGGAGAATTATTACCATGCTTCAGTGATAAATTTTACGTAAAGAATTTATTCAAATCATACCTTGACAATTTCAATGGTAACATCATATTGCGTTCCTTCAGATACAGACGATCTTGGAAATGCATAATCTAGTGGTATAAAGTTAGAAAGTATTATGAATCCTGGACAATGGTTGACATAGCATCCCGTTTTTCCATAATTATCTGTAAATTTGATAGGATAAAAGTGGGTTACTTGTTGTAATCTAACATTGATAACACTAATAATAACTAAAATAAACTAGCTAGTAATAATGGTATAAATTGAAGAAATACAAAGACACTAACCGTCCATCGACTAAACAGTCGAGGGTTGTAATCACCATATAATGTTGGGTATACCTAAAAGTAAGTTAAACACAACACAATAAATAAGAATAGACATACACTTATCACTTGACCGATTTCAAAATATATTCAAAATCCGACTCAATATCAATAGAAGAATAACTAACTATCCATCCAGATCTTATTTGATTATCTCCATTTTCCACATATATGGAGGCTGAACTATATTGGTGATCCCCCCTCAGTTTGGGATTCCATATAGTCATGGTAGCTTTTGCACCTATAAAGTGCTCTGAAGGAGCTTCCGGCACGATAATACCCAAAAGGGGGGATATTTTCTTGTAAGGCAAAATTTGGTGATGACAAAATTTTCTTGTAAGGCTAAAATATAAATATTTTAACTTCAACCCAAAAGGGGGAATAGCACACCCCAGACGCACGCATCCGACCTAATAGAATGATGGAAAATAAATAACGGTATAATGTCAAACAATTTTGAGTGAGGTGATTCGAGCCTGGTGCGCATAAGGAGCCATCCAACATCGTCGCTATCAGGATTGAACGTGAGACCTCAACTCAACTGTCACTGTTGACCTACCCGTGTGGGTAATTTTAACTTGGTTATATATATGATGATATGAAGCTTTAGAAGTTGGTAATTCTTACATCAAGAAAGCTTCCTGTGTTGAGGTAGGAGTCGTTTTCAATCTTTTGAAAGGGGGTGTATTGGACTTCGTGTAGCTCTTGAATCTTTTTTAATTGTTTCATAGACAATCGACGAATGGGAACACTTCCCACATGACATCCTTTTTTGTTTAACCATATGTCCCTCGGGTTGAAATTGTAAAAATCTGTCGAATTAGCCGTTAAACTTTGGGCTTCCTCCGAGGCAAGTATAGCATTTTGCTTCTCTAATTCCTTGGCAATAATCATCTGTACACAATTAACATTGTCATTTGAATTTCAAATATTGAGAAACCAACTAGAAAATTGTAACTTCTTCTATCTCAAAGTACTCCATGTGTCCCATAAAAGTCTTCTTACTTACTTCCTCTGTCCCACTAACAATGAAACAAAAGGGAGTGACACGCAAACAATAAAAAGTTGTTTATGTGATTGATATTGAATTGATAATTTAAGAATAAAGTAAAAATGATTTAGATTCACACAAACTTTACCAAATTTGGTATGAGACATTCTTAGTAGGACGAACCGAAAAGGTAAAATAGGACAATCTTAGCGGGATGTAGGGAGTATCATTTTGGGATGTCCCAAAACAAATCGTGTCTCTTTTTGGAATGTTTTGTGTGGCTAACATTGATTTACGTGTTTCTTACTCAAGCACAACCACACATTTCCACTTTATTCTCGTTCTCTTAAATTTTGATTCAAATCAAACAGTGAACAATTTTATGGGCGGAGGGAGTATATAAAGAGCCCGTTTAGTGACTCTGCTTTTCCCGCTTATCAGTCAACTTTTTAACCAAACACATAACTTTTGATTTCGCACGCTGAATTGTGTAATAATCAAAATATGTAAGATTGAAGTTACTTTTCTAGCTGAACTTGCCGAAGTTACTATAGAGAACCATTTTCCCTGTTTTTATTTAATTTTTTCTTTATTTGATTAATGAAATACATTTTAAATATAATTTTTTCATAATTGAGCAGAATCGGCCAATTCAGACAACACGTCGATTCAACCAATTTCAGTGTTTCCAAACGGCTCATAATAAGTACATATATATGACTAAATAAATGTTACTTACAAAAATGTGACATCCTAAAATGTAGTGTTCACAGTTGTAACTTTATCATAGTAACTTATTTTCAATTTACACTTAATTGAAAGTGAGACTGCATTATTATAAATATTACTCCGTAGTTACATTTTTGTAAATAAGTTTCCTTTTTGGAAAATCTTATATAGTATGAATGTGTTTGGGTAACGGCAGCTCAATCATTTTTGGCTTTTCAAATGATTTTGGCGTTTTGACTTTGATCAAACTGTCAAGGAAGGTCGTTTGGCAAATAGCCATGCGAAAAGGAGGTGTCATGGAAGGGTCACTACATTTTGCATACTTCTAGTCGGTCGCATACTTGCATTATTTTCTCTGCCTCTTTCAAGCCAAAAAATCTTTCCATTTTCCTAATATATAAAATATTTACGTGGCTAACTGGCTAAAGATTTTTTCCTCATTAGTAGGAAGCTGTTTTTAACAAGTTCCAAATGTTTTCAATAGTGGCATTATAATATTGTGAGAATTGATTTGTCCCATACAGACAATCGCATTTGAGGAGTTTTCGGGTCGTTTTGTTTTATGAAATTTTGTGAGAATGTTCTTCATAAAGTTTAGATTATGTCCACAAAATTCTAGCTTAATCGGGAATTCTGTTAAATAAATTATTAAAAAATATTGCACATACAATTTAGCAAAATTTTAAGTTGACATTTTATTGACATGACCTACATCGCTGACCAGATCATTTGTTATAACATACTCCGTAGTTATATTGTATAGTATTACAATAACAATATTAATAATAATTAAAACCAAATAGGGCCTCAATTTTGCATTTGAAACCAGAGCCTCAAAATTCATTAGATGAGATCTCGAAATTCTTTAGAGAGATATTTTGTTAACTAATATTTATGTATCTATCTGTCTCATGCTACATCTATATCGTGCACATTGTAACACGAAGATGTTCAATATAATTTAATGCATAACCTTAATAACCATGGCAACTAAAAAAGAAGAATACCTTTTTTAGATGGATCGAATCATCGAGTACAATAGCAAACGTACATACCTTAAGTTTGTCCCTGTCCATTTTAGGATCATTCATGCCAGGTTGCTCATAAATATCTACGCAGTCATAAGTATCTCCGGAAATAGTCTGTAATCAAAATGTGGACTTTGTTATATATATATGAGTACTCTTCCGGTTAGGAATTCCTGACTGAAACCGCCGTCTGTCCGGCAGCATTTGGGCCTCTTCCTGGTGAAATGTTTTGATGAAATTTTTATGACATGTTTCTCATCAAGTCTAGTTTATCCACAAAATATTTCAGCTAAAAATCCAATCGGGAATGCCGTCAAATGATTTTTGTAAGATAATTGCGCCCAAATGATACATATAAAACGCAGTTAACTTCCAAAAATTATTTGCCAACATTCCTGATTGAATTTTTAGTTGAATTGTTTTGTGGATAAACTAGACTTGATAAATAACATGCCATAAAGATTTCATCAAAAAAGTCGACCGGGAAGAGGACGAAACGCCGCCTTCCGGGTGGGTTTTAATGTAACATTATTCAATAAAAGAGTTTTATTTTGTGATTATGAAATACAGTATACTTATTTATGTGGTTTAATAAAGTCTTATATTAAATTGGTAAAGAAAAAAATTAATTTAGTTGTAATTTAATTATGTTCTTACTTATCCAATACAAAATATACTATCCTCCGTTTCGTTTTAATCTTGAATTTTACACTATTCACATGTTCTACTTTGACTTCATTTTACGCTATTATTTTATGAAAATTATTTAAAAAAAAATATTATTCAATTCATCTCATTACAAATTTTCAAAATCCGATTTTTAATATTTTTACTAATAGAATTAAGATATAATTACGGTCAAAGACGTGCGTTGGCAAATGTGAAATGTTGACCGTTGCAACTAAAAAAGAACGGAGGGAGTACATCATTTTATATTTAATTTTATCAAATATTGATATGCTATTTTCTGCTTTCTTTTATTCGGTACAATGATGTAAAAGTTACATTTATATCATAACTTTTAATTATTTTAAAACAAAAAGAAATGAAATAGTGAGTTTATAATCATTTCTTCCTTCCCCAAATATTGACCTATATCATTTAAAGTGTAAATTATCAAGATTATTTCTAAAATAACTTTAATTTTAACATAACCATTTACTTTTTCTTTGGTTTAGTTAAAATATGTCAAGGTTACATATTTAAAACACCATGGTAAGTGTATTAAATTAAAATAAATTCACTAGAGTTATGTCACTGACAAAGTAAGTGTAAAAATGAAAAATAAAATGTGAATATTAAAATGTGAATATTAATGTGAATATTAAAATGTGAATATAGACTATGGATCAAATGAAAACAACTCTTAACGTAAAAAGTGAGAATTAATCCTGAATATATTGATATTAAACTCCCACTTCTTTAGATATGAACTTTAATAATAGGTATTTGGTAAACATATAGCTTTGATTTAGTTTGGGTAAGTGCATGTCATGGGTTTTTTCATTAAGAATGGTTCTACTTGGACTTTTTTCAATCCTCAACTAGACCAGATCAGACATAAACAGACCAGACCAGACTTAAACATACCAAATCAGACCAGACTTAAACAGACCAGGCCTGACTTTCGTAGTTATAAAAAACAGAGAGATCAGAGGTTTACCAGACCAGGACAATTTAGACCAGACCAGATACAGACCAGAGCAGACCAGACTTAAACAGAACAAACCAACAAATTACGATCCAAGTAAAAACGTCCTAATTTGATCAAGAATCGTTTCCACTTATATGCTAAGTTATTTCCACATTCCTTATTTACGTTTTTTTTTTGAAAGATTCCTTATTAACGTTATTCACCACAATACTATTTATTTTTCAACATATTTTCATTCTTTTTGTGCTAGATATTATTAGAGTTTAACATATGCATTCATTTATTTTCAACAACTTTCGATTTTTGTGCATTAGATATTATGTATTGTGTATTTCAATCAACTTCATTTTTAGTGCATAAAATTTTAATTATTAACTTGTGAATTAAATTATGATTTATCGATCTTCTATATGTTTATTGTGCGTCATGCACCAATTGTTGTCTGTTATATCCTAAATATGATTAAGTTGACGGTTAATGTGCATTAAATATTAGTCGTTAAAAATGATGACACTTTGCTACATAAACAAAAAAAAAGCATCACCGCAAAGAGTGAATCACTTTGGACAAAAGTGCAGCATAAGATAATTATAATAGTTTGAAAAATAAAATAAATTGGAATTTCACATGACAAACAAGGAAGCGGGGTTGACATCACCCTCTTTAACAAAATTGGACTCTCTTTTTTTGAGGAAAAATTTGACTTATTTAAGAATACCTTGAGAGTAGTGATGACTGAACTCCTCCGATATCCCCTTTTTCTTTCGAGGCTATGACTATGTGTTCTCCTTTTTCCATGAGTAACGTTGTTGCAAAGACAAATAAGAGTAAAAATAATCATACTGATTTTCAAAGCCATGATATCAAGTTATTTGATAATTCTGTCTTTGTAGGTGACGATATTTATACAGGTTAGCAATCTCAGGGTGAAACAAAAGATAGAAAGTAATATACCTTTTAATGAAAGGATATTAATAATGAGTACGCAGAGCTGAATAAAGTTTAAAAACAATGTATCTACTTCAAAAATCTTATATGTATAAAGTTTTCAGTTTTATATTGAAAAGAAATTTATTTTTAATTACTCACACTACCATTCAAATATTTCCAAATCAAGTCCCACAGTATTGATTTCGCACAAAGAATGTTATAGCACTTTGTGATTTGTAAGTTATCATCACTTTAGATCTTATCCGCAAAAAAAAAGTTGTACTAGTGTGAAGTTCGAGCATGACCCGATAGCACGTCAATTAGATACGATTGAAATGAAATATACTACTAACTATATATATTCTGCAATAGATATTGTGAATTATTTACATAATCAATCAAGTTGAATATAATAAATTTTTATTAAGAACTAACCACAATCAACTATAAATTCATATTTGTTAAATGGTTATTAATTAACCATCATCATATATTTTTATTTACACTTTAGTCCATATCAAGGATTTAAATTGCGGCCGCGATTGTCGTTGCGACTGTTGCAATGTGAATTGTTTTTACATTTAACAAAAATATGAAAATAGATAAATTAGTGTTGTGGTCCCGGTGTATCCCCAATGAGGTCCGATGCGGCTTGATGTGGCCCGATACTGCCATATTGCGGTTACGTTGTGATTTTTTCCCGTAAATCAAAATCTCACCGCCATTGCGGTCCAATGCAGTTGCGCTGCATACCACAACCGCAATATTGTAGGTGCAAAATGTGTTGCGGTCCATAATTTAAAACTATGGTCCATATTTGTTTTCCATCAGATTTTGTTACTCCCCCGTCCTGTTTTGTAAGGCACAATTCACTTTTTGTGTGCCTAAAAAATATGGAGTATGAAAACTTTCTTAAATTGCCACTCACTTTTTATTTTTCACTTTGTTCTTTATCTATCATTTAATGCTTTTGGATACATTTTACATTTTCTTACTCTTTACATGTTAAAAATATAATTTAACACTTTTATCTCCTTTATTCCTAAAGTTGACACTCCCAAAAACTTCTCGGATTTCAGACTTGTTAGTCTTTCCTCCTTCATCAGCAAAGTATGCACTAGAATCCTAGCCAAAATACTTAACCTTATTCTACCCAAAATTATCTTCAAGGAACAAATAGGCTTTATGCAAAAAAAAAAGGATATTGGTGATCACATCCTTCTAGCTCAAGAACTCATCCATGCCAAAGCTAGACATGGCAAAGGCATTCGATAAACTATCTTGGAGCTTCCTTTGTGCTATATTGTGGAAATTTTGTTTCACACAAAAGTTTATTCAAATTATTTTCAATAATCTTCAGGCTACAAATTTGTGTTCTTATTAATGGAACACCCCACGGTTTTTTAAGCCTCAGTGAGGGGTGAAACAAGGTGATCACATATCCCTACTTCTATTCATAATTGCTTTTGAGACCTTTTCTAGAGGCTTAAAAGCTTTGGAAGAGAATAAAAATATCTTACCTTATCTAATTGGAAGAGGGGTCCCAGTGATTTCCCAACTGGGCTACGTAGACGATTTACTCATCTTCGATCATCAACGTGAGTTCGAGATCCATTACAACCTTCATGAATTTTCTCAGGGAGTGCCAGGAGGCCTCTGAGCAATGAGTAACTTCAGCACCGCCACTAGAAAACTTTCTAGTTGCTCTACTCCCCTCCGACACCGCCACTCTGAGCAATGAGTTAACTTCGCCGCCGCCTTTCGTTCACCATCTTCCTCTGGCGTCACCGCTGCAAGTCCTCTCTGTTGCACTGCCATCTTGAGCCATCCTTCTTTTTCTTCTATTTCTATCTAGCTGCAGGGATGATGTGATTCCCAATGACTGAGTGCAAATGGGGCGATTCCGACTACAAAGGGACTAAATTAGAGCTTTGAGGGTTGTGAATCTGATGGGCGAGCATCGAGGGCGGCGATCGACCGCTGCCGGTTCCGGATCCACCAACCTCAGTGGATAACGTCTCAGGTTTGGCATAGCAGGTCCCGGATCTGCCGGATCCATCATCCTCGAAGTCGGAGAGGGACCTGAGGGAGGGGATCTGGTGCGTAGAGCTAGGGGGAGGGGGTTGGGGACTAGAGTAGGCGGCTAGGGGCAGGGGGACTGGATGGGGCAGGTGTGGCGATTGTGGACAGGACAGGGGCGGTGGTGGTTGATGAGGTAGCGGCGGTGGCAGGCCGTAGTGTTGTTATTGGCGGTGGGGCGCCGAAAAAGCTTCCGACAGTTATACTGTTGAGGGTGGCGGTGGTCGGAGTATCTTGCGGTGGGCGGTGCCACTGGAAAATCCGACATCACTGTGTTGACGTCACTATGGCCGACGGCGGTCACCAATCGGAGGTAGTGGTGGGTGTCAATGTATTCGTGTCACTGTGACCATAATTTGAGACAGAGATGTCACTGCGAAGGTGTCACTGTGGTTGGCGGCGACGGCAATAACACTACAACAGTGACATAGGCGATGACGGCGACAATGACATCCGACAGTGACATGGAAGTGGTGTAGTGACATTAATAAGCATCTTAGTTACATTTTTGTCCAAATGTAAATGTGGTCACTTTAATGGAAATTAGCATTAGCACTAATTGTCCTAAATAGGACTAATGAGTCTCTAAAAAGCACAAATAGGACTACTGGTTTTTAAATTCCCCAAATAGGACTAAACATTGATTTTATACCCAAAATACTCGAAGGGTATATAATTCTTAATGAAATGTTTTAATTCATAATAAAATCATAAAAAATCAAAAATAATAATAAAAAATTTTAAAAAAATAAAAATTAAAAAAATATTTATATAAAAAAAATTAAAAATATTTTTTTGATTTTTTTTTTAAAAATTATGAAAAATAGTAAAAACCCATAAAAAATATGGATATGCTTCCCACGGCCTCCCAGCATCACCACCTTCAATAGGTGAATATTCTGCCACTTTTGTAAAAAACGTCATTTTTTTCTGAAAATGCCAAGAAAATGGTATTATTACTCTTCATTATGCCAACATTCTCTGGTGATGGGAGGTGGTAGTGCTAGGGGGTGGCAGATTAATTAAGGTAATTAACCTGCGTGAATATTTTTCTGACTGAATAAGGTAAATGATACAATTAACAACTAATTTAACAAGGATTATGTGAACAGTCCTATTTAACATGAATTTTTTAAAAATGGAAGAACACCCCTAATGGGGGAGCTTCACTAATATCCCAGGAATGAGTAAAGTTCACCACATATCCCGTAGCTATACTCCAAATAATTTATTCTCTATATTCATAGGTCCATAGCCGATGTATGAACACAAATTTGTATATTCATACCTTAGCATATGTTGTTTTAATAATACCATAGCAGATCGAAGTTATGGATGTCTTGATGACTTAAATTTGAAACTGAGTATTAGTTAAAGTATTGTTAAAACTAACTTCTAATTAAGAACGGTTGAACCATTTTGCAAATATATAATGATATTTATTGAAAATAAAATTTCAAAAAGATTTTCTTAAAGAATTTTACTTCGGTGAAACGTTAGCTGAAAAAATAATGAATGCAATAGGAACTATACCTAATATATGTATCTTTGCCGATTCTAAAGTATAAAACGGAAAAGAGTTTACAGGCTAAAATTCATTTTTAAACTAACTTTTACAAAAACAAACCGGCATTGAAGTGTTGAGCATGCAATCAAACAAGAATATTTGGATTTTCATGTTTCATAGTAAAATACTTTATACGGAGTAATGGAGTATGTATTATTGAAATAGATCTAATTAAAAGATTGCTCTTACCATTTTTGAGAAAAAATGAAGTGAAAAAACTGGAGCTCATTTTATGGAATTTCAACAATGAAAATCTACGGAGTATTATAATAGCTCATTTTGTAATAAAGATTTTAGAATGAATAGATAAAGAAATTACTAAAGCAATCTTAAATAATGGATCCGATTCACCATACTTTAAAGGCCACAACTACCGTGCCTTCCAAAAACTTCTAGGTACCGTACCACGTCCAGTTGGACCACTAATTTGCTGGCATATGTAATACATTTACACGCAATATACGTTAGTATAGCTATTTATTATTTCTCCTAATTTGCTCGTAGGCCCCTGAGATATTTAATAATTGATTTCAAATGATTTAACGCTAACCGTCCGTTAGACTTCTCCAGCGTCTTCCCATCTACACTGTCAATTGGTCTAGCTTTCGGAATGGATTCATGCTACCGGTCATCTTGCCGACAGAGAAGATGCATGATTCGTTAGGGTTCACGTTCGGTCATCTTGCCGACAGAGAAGATCCAAGATCCTTGCTTTATGCAAGGCTTCCAAAGATTCTAAATCAAGCCAACATGCCCTGTGAATCTATGAATTGATGAGTGATCTCAGGCTTGATGTCGCTATGAGGAATGGTCTTCTGTCAGTGGAGGTAACCGAGTTCGAATATGATTATGACAGTCCATCGATTTCGTCTATTTAGGCTCTTCTGGTTAAATCTGGTTGAAATTGATTGTTAAAAAATTACGAAATGGTATCTAGGTATGAATCTTTAAATTATACCGTTTAGAATCCTTCAACAATTGATCCCAATTTAAAGTTAATCGGCCTGGTTTCATGAAATGAAAATGTAGGCTACGTAATGGCACTCTCTTGCATATGTTTCCTTTTTCTTTACCAAGTGGTGCAAGGCCAATAGTAAACCTGTTCAGTCTTATCGTATTCTTGATTGTGTATTTCATGAGGTAACAGTCAAACCTCATCAAATTTTAAAGCTTCATGCTATGGTGATATTCCAGCTTCTCTAATGGCTAGTTGTGCATATTCCAGCTTCTCTAATGGCAAGTTGTGCCTATTCCAGCTTCTCTAATAGCTAGTTGTGCCTATTTTAGCTTCTCTAATGTGCTCATGCTGTTCTGTGGCATGATATTTAGATCAAACGTATTATGTGATTGACATGGTGGGTTGGGCTGGGTTCTCATTATATGAGTGCACTGCAGAGTTCAAATTCTAATGGTTGAACACTAAACTCGCTCAGTCAGGGGCATGCGATGCTCCCTCAACTTGCACTAAACTTACACTAAACTTGTTCACTAGTATTCCAGTCTACGACTGTGTCTAGGAAGGACTCTGTTCTGCTTATACAGGTCCAGTACCCTATGTTAAGGATGGGTTGGTGTTCATTAATAAGCGAGTTTTTATGAGTTAATACATTTATGATAATGTCTCCAGTTTTTAAGGATTTACAGTTTACCATGAATACTATTGAACTGTGTGCCTTTTTGAAAATTTCTGCCTTTGTGTTTATTGATTGCTTCTCATCTATAGGCAAGCACACTACCAAACTGGGAATACACCACTTGCATTGGTTAGGGAAGACAAGAACTATAGCCAGTATGTCGGCGATACTGATAATAATGGAAAAGTTCCAACTGAACAACACGGTGCTATTATCATTCTATTTTTAAATTCCAAATTTGGTACTGATTCTGTAGAAGAAGGGTAGGCTCTAGTTTTATCTTTTTGTTTCTATTTCAGGTGATTTTTGATATGATGATCCTCATGTTAAATTTGGTTGCCTGAATGGAGAATTCATCGAGAAGGTTAAATTGATTATTATGTTGTGATTTAGCATACTAATATTTTCTTCTTCAGGTTATCTGTCACTATTACTCCCTCCTTTCCCATTTAATGTTCTGGGTTTGACTTGAAATGAAGTGTGTGGAAATGAAAATTGTTTGGTTGATATTCACGTAGACGCAAATGAAAGAAAATAGCTTACACACTTTTTTACTTAAGAGGGAAAAGGAGGGTTAGTTAGGGATGACCCAAATAGGAAAAGTGAAGACAAAGTGGCGATAGAGGGTGTTCTATGTAACTTTTAGGCATATGCTGCAAGTACTTTTTGCTCTTTTCTCTTAATATGAAGTTTGCTTCTTAAGAGCATTAGATAGTGGCATAGGACAAAGTAAACAATAGCTTTTAAGAAATCATTCATAAATGGACAATATAATCTGATAGGGATGTGTTTGTCCTTCGGTATTGTGTAGTTTGTTTCAATGTTTTCCTCTATACTAGACTGAGATGGAATTGAAATATACCTATCATGATGTGGTCGAAGGGAGCCTCTACATTATTTTCTCTGTTTTAAAGCTTTTTCTTGACTTATTTTTCAGACTTTCACAATTTTCAATTTTATTGTCTTCTCTGACAGGATTACACCCATGAGACCATCTACGTTTCTCTATTGCTGAAGCTAAGGTGGATTATTTTTGGTGGATGGGAAACTGGAGAAGGCAGATTTGCAGTACGTTGACAAATCCAACCACTCTCGTGCCTTTGCTGACAGTTATGTTAAGATTACTTGTTATTCTATAAATATAACCATTGAGACAGTTGAGGTGTGCATGATTAAAGTCTACTTCTATTTTCCTGATTATGCACGTTTGTGTGGTTGGGTGTAGGAGAGGGCAGACCGTGCGGTAAAGCTGCAGGGTTGTTTGTAGGCCGGGTTGGGGGTAATAGATTCCCAGAGGTGTTGGAAAGGGACTTTCTGGGGGTGGAGGATATTTATTTGTTTTGTTCGATTGAGGTAAGTTCCATTTTCATTATGAAACACTTAATTATATGATGGAGCCTGATCTGATTATGAAGATAAAAATGGCACTTTATTTGATTTTGACTCAAGGATGCATTTAACATCGTTTTGCTAACCTAGAGCCTCAGCTAGTCAGTTTTTTCCCCTTGTTCTTCTAATTCTTTCTTCTTCTACGTTTTCCTATTATCAATTTATGATGTTTTATATTTAGCCCATGCCTAACTCTCTCCAGTCTATGTTTAGAAGAAAAAGATCTAATGTGACATATGTATATAACTTCACTTTTAACTTTCTGTACCAGTTTTATAACTTTGTAAAGACTTAATGCAGTTCAGATTAACTGACATTTTTTTAAGTGTAGCATGCTGGGACAATTTTGAGTCTATGAGTCTTACTAGTCAAGCAAGATACTTGGCATAGCTTCGTCTATGAGTCTTACTAGATATGTCTTCAATAATTTTGAAAAGTAATACCTAAATGACATTGAATTGCTGTAATCTACTCTTGTCGGTGTTCATTATATTCCATATCAGAATGGTATGGTCTGTTGGCCTTCTCAGTTCCAATTCCTCTATTTCTCCCTCCTCTAAAACCTGATATTGGGTAAGGTCTTGGATAATAGGTGTAGGAACAATAACATGAGTATTAAATAACTTTTTAATGTCATGAGAAACACGTTAATGCATAGCATATACACAATACGAAAAAATTGATAAGTAACAATAGATTAATCGAATAATAGAGAATTTATTCAAAACAACACGAAATTGAAAATGAAATTGGAAAAAACTGAAATTGTAAGTAATTAGGTCTAAAATATCCATAGAGTAATCAAGAAATTGTAACTAACTAAATTCAAAATAACTATGAAAAGTAACTCTAATTAGTCTAATTTGTCTCTCTATTGGTTTCATCAATAGTAAAATCAAACATATGATCGAGAGATCTCTTCAACACCGCTTCATGCAAAATGTTGAATTTATCCAAGACCAGGTCTAATGCCATCTTAAGCCTTGTACCATCATCGACCTGTAAATTAAAAAAAAATCATCACATAATTAATCTCTATATGTTTTCGCTTTCTAGATTA